ATGGCTGGAATTAATTGATGAGACACCTTTGGATCAAGAGAAACCTCAACAACGGGGCAGACAGAAGACCCCTTCGGAAGGCCTATTATTGCGAAAGGGAGTCAACAAATTGGTTCTAAATCATGTTGAAGATCGAAAGGGAAAAAGGAAAACTTTTACTTACCATGGTTCTTGGATTTCCAAATAAATTTGGATGAAATTTCTTTCTACCTACAGGAATTCGGTGTACAAACGTCTAAAATTTTCTGTACCTATTGGGTCAGGTTCTTAACCGATGGTTGAACTCAACGGGTAGTTGAAATAAGAGAAATATAAGTTATCAAAGGAGGGAATTTTTTTTAACGCAATAGAAAAAAGAGACCTGAAAAGCTTACAAGCAAAGTTTCAAGATTCATAGATAGAAGGTGTTGTTGCTGGAAGGATATCCTTGGTAGCAATGATAACAAACCGTTCCATCCAACTACGGTCATTATCATCACCAACACTGGTAATGATGGCATGATGGCTGCATTTGATGAGTTAGATCACGCCTCCACGAAAATTATTTGGGGAGTAAAGGCTGATCAAATGGGCAAGAGTGAGGGTTCTCCGGCCCGGGAGCAAAATACTCGAAGGCAAACCACCTATACACCATATTGAATGGGCTTACCTGAGCCAAAATGATTTTGTAGTGGTAGCCAAACTCTAAAATAATGGGATTAATTTTTTGACTCATTCTTAAGGTAAAACAGTATGTATAAACATACATGAACCCCGGTTTGCTAATAACCCTTTCCACTTCATTGGGGGCGAAGATTTTAATGTTTGCTAATAACCCTTTCCACTTCATTGGGGGCAAAGATTTAATGTTTTTCAGTCGTAATCTTCGTTCACAACAGGAATACCCGTAGGGCGGATGGAAGAAGGATATATGCTGATAGGCCGATTTCTGTCATTTTTTGGGTTGATGGGTTCCTTTTGTACTTGAGGTCCATCTTAGAGTTTAGTTGAGAGGGTATGATTGTGTTGGTGGTAGGAGGACGACCCACATCGGCTTTCTTGGTTTTGTTCTTTTTAGAAAGGCCACCACCAATGTGAAGGCCAGAGTTTTCGGTGACAGAAATAATAGAAGGCATGGTGATAGAAAATCTGAGAAAGAAAATTTTACTAAGAAAAAGGGGTTTGCAGAAATGTTCTAAGGAAATTCAAAGAAGAAGAGTTTGGAAAACTGAAATGTAGCAGAATTTATGGTCATCATTACCTTGAAAACTGCAAAAATAATTGTCGAATCACGGGATAACACGTATTCGGCTTATTAAATGCAAGAAGACGTGCGTCCTTTCAAGTGTCAGAAATCGTTTAGGAACTTTTTCGTCAAGGAAAGAGGTCTTATCTACTTCTCGGTAACACAAGAGTTTGTCACCGGAAAGTAGGGGGACTATCTATATGGGGTAAAATTAATGCACGACAGGTGGATGCTGGACGAGTTGAGACGTGGAAGTAAAGACAAGTAAGACATGAGTTAGCAAATAATTGGTGCCGATTATGAACATGTGACTGGAGTTGAATAAATTCCAAAGGCATCGAAACCGGGTATGAAGATCAGAAAGGAAGATACCGGTTGGAAAAGATAACATTCAGTAAGTAGATATTACAAAGACTCTTTGCATTAATGCCCAACTGTTATGCAGTCATGAAGAGGGATTTTATTCCTATTAAAGAAGAGCTTGATTTAGGGATCTTGACTCCAAACTGATCTATAAATAGGAGAATGTGTGCTCATTGTAGGAGGCGAAAAATCATCTATACACAAAAGACGAAATCTGCTCTTATTCTATTAATAACTTTCTTTCTTTCTGCTTAACATATTGTTCTTATTACGCTTCTGGAAAGGCTCATCCTACAGTGAAGTTTGTATTTTATTCAAGTTATTTTATTGATATGTATCATTTTACGAGTAAACACCGGGGAAGCTCTAACTTGAATAATCGTTGCTCAAGGAAAATAGAAGATGGGAGTCAAGTCTTAGCGGTGGCAATTCCAAATTCTCAAGTTAATGCAACGACTTTCATGGATGTGAGGCAACAAAAAGAGAAGAACGGTAATCAATGAAGAATTCCAAGTCTAAACGGATGGTTGATTTTTACCATTTTCTGTGGAATTCAGGACGAAGAAATTGCAAATTAATATATTGGATACAGTCAATTTTGGAATTTAAAGATGGCCCGAGTTTCCTGCTCAACTCCCCACCTACTCAACTTTTTTCTCCATTGTTTTTTAGGTTGGGTTCTCTTCCACTTTTAGATCTTTCATCGACTTGGACATACTATGACGGAAAGTATGGGACATGCTTAATTGATTAATCTTCCCAAGAGTACAAAGTTAATTCTTTACCTAATAGTCAAAACATCCATAGTTTTTCTTTTTGCATTTATTTGTTGTGTTTATATTGGCAATGAAAAAATAAGAATTTAAACTTTTAAATCGCCTCGAATGGGTATAGTCTGGCGGTAAATAGCACATATACTTATTATGCAATGCTTGAGATCCGTAATTTCTAAACGAAGAGACTATCCAAAATACATGTTATAATAGATACAACATATACACCACGTAACCCTATCACAAATCTTAATATTTTCTCCGGTCCACAATAAGTAACCATTTTGGAAGAACAAAATTAATTCGTTTTTTATTATTGTGAACAAAAATACAAAGGCAAAAGACAATTGAGCTCATTAAGGGTGTGTTTGGTATAAAGGAAAACATTTTCCGGAAAATATTTTCTAATTTTTCTAATTTTGGTTGGCTTAAATATTTTGGAAAACATTTTCCTTATGAACTCATTTTCCTCCAAATGGAGGAAAATGTTTTCCTTATAAAGAAAAGGGAAAACATTTTCCAAAACTTCTTTTCAACCTTCACTACCCTCACCCCTACACCCCACCGTACACTCCCACCCTCACCCCCACCCCCAACACCCCCCCCCATACCGCAATTTTTTTTTTTGCCTTAATTTTTTTGTTTAAATTTCAAATTTCTATTTTTCGTTTTCTGCACCACTCACCACCCACCCACCCCACCCGCACTAAAAAAATTACTTTTTTTGTAATTTAATATCTATTTTTTTCGTTTACTGCCACCCCCCCCACCCCACCCCACCCTATCCCCCTAAAAAAAATATTTTTTAAATATATTTTTCAGTTTTATGTTTTTTATTTGTCGATTTAAAGGTTCAAAATTTTACAAGTTCCAAAATTATGAGTTCGGAGGTTTATGTGTTTGGAAGTTTACGGGTTCGAAATTTCGCGGTTTTGAAAGCTTAGCGGTTCGAAAGATTATGAAATTTGTGGGTTTGAAAGTTTATGGCTTCATGTTTATTATATCTAAATTATTTATGAATACTCTTGAGAAGTCATTTTCCTTAATTTGCGTACCAAACACCGGAAAATGAATAAGATTACTACTTGTTTTCCAAGAAAATATTTTCTTTCCAAACACACCCTAAATGTCTTAATCCAATAAATTCCTCTCCGGTAAGAGCTTTGTGACAAGACAAAGCTAAAAGAATACTATTGTCTTTAAATTCTCGGGACATTGCTTTCATCATTGACGAGAACTGAATATATTTCAGAAATGATTACTAAATCATAAATATGAACTTTGTAGAGGCATCTTGGATAATTTGTTTTTGTTACTAAATCATAATTTAGCATGAAGACTCCGCAATTTCACATTCATCTGTCTCTGTCTCTCACACTAGAAATTTCAAATAATAATGAAATCCATGACATGTGACAATTTTACTAGGCATGCTTGGCCTACTCACAAGAATTTATAAAAGCTAAATTTTTATCCAATTAAGTAGAATTTTGTCTTGAGTGATCAGCGCGTGGTTGTTGAAGCAAATGAGTAGCTAGCTATATGAACTTTTTCAACATATATGTGGTGAGGAGGAGGGGATGATCCGTTATAATTAATACCATACACATAAATAGGATATAAGGTAATGAACTCTTCAGCTGAGTTAGTTAATACTACTCTACCTCTTTGCGGCTGCTTATCGGGCGGATTGGGCGGTTATTTACTCTTAACGGTTTGGCTTAATGGTTATCGGTTTTTAGATGTATTAATCCGCTAGCCACCCGATAAGATATCGGGCGGATTGGTATCGGTTTCGCTCTTATCGGGCGGTTATCGGGCGGTTTATCGGCCTAATTCAATCTATATTGCACATGACACAATTTAGCAAATTTAGCGAGGGTCCAAAATTTGCTTCGCCATGCTTCAAATGTATGCTGATGTTGGTCAAAGAATGGGATTTCTTGCTCTTGTCTTATAACTGCTCCAATTTTCTTTAGATGTCGCTCTAATTTCTAAACAATCCAAGAACACCTACCGAAATGTGTGCAGACTGACGTTTTTTTTACATGCAAGCAAACCTGCAGATCTATGTGTTAAACCCAATTTAACAGCAGATTCTACTTGTTAAACTATCTCTTGTTTGTTAAGTTTTGGTACNATAATTAAATATATATATGCTGAAAATATAATAATAATTTTATATGCTGAAATAAAATAATAAATGAAATACAATAATTAAATATATATATATGCTGAAAATGTAATAATAATTTTATATGCTGAAATACAATAATTAAATATATATATATATATATATGTATATATATATATATATATATATATATATGGATAAAGATAAATTTTATATGTATATAGATATTCTTAACGGGTTAACGGATTATCCGCTAAGAAAACTGAATAATCTGCCCCCAAACCGATAAGTCGTTAATAAAAAAAATTCAATCTGTTCCCCATCCGTTAAACCGGTAACCCGATACCAATAAGCCACTAAGCTTCGGTTTCTATTCGATTTTCGGTTTCGATTCGGTTTTGAACACTCCTAAACTTCCCCAAGAAGGGGGAGAGAGAGAGAATTTGCCTTAATTACCACGACATAATGAAGATGAATTCTTACTTTGAAAATCAAACACCAGAAAGAAAAAAAAAGATCAAATTAACATAATAAGGTTATTTCCAGGAAATGGGTTAATACATTATATAGAGAGAGACTCCACTTCCCTACTTTCAAGTGGGGCATGTCTCTTTATAAGAATCATATGCCAAAAGTCTTACGTCTACACGCCAAATACGAAAAAGCCAAAACTAGCTCTCTTTTAATATGAAAAAGAACCTAACATAATTAAAAACAACACTGTCACTAAAAAAAAAAAAAAAAGCAAAAACAAAAGAACAAAGCTAAAAATCAAGTAACTCAATAATGGAAGACATAGACATTGTACTCCACAACAGCATCACCAGTCTTGAAATCCAAAGTATGAGTCTTTGCCTGAGCATAGCCACGAGCAAACCGGAAAAGCCCACTCCCGCCGACGATCGGCATCTCCCGGACTGTCGACATCACCGAGTTCCGGCCCAAAACACTTAAAGTACTCCCATTATATTTTCCTTCAACAAAAGCAAAGTTAAGAGCCATCAACAAACCAACATCATTGAGTGAAGCTTGTGCATAAATCCCTTGTGCTCTTCCAACAAGTTTTGAGTTTGGTTCTGGTCCTACGGTTAAAGGGTCATCTATCATCGCCATAAGGCCGAATCCGGTGGACGACCGGTTGGTCATGGCGGCTTCGGCTATTTTCACGGCGGTGGGGTTTTTACCACTGACTATGTCATGGAAGTAGAAGTGAAGGTGGCTAAGTTTTTCCCTCTTCATACCCATTGATTTTTTGGATAATTTTCTTGAGAATTCTTGGGAGTTTCCATGGGTAAGGACTGAAAGGAGGAGTATGGTGATAGAGAGCTTTTGAAAATTGCAGGACTTGGCCATGGTTGTTCTCTGCAAGTTCCCAATTAGAGCTTATTATGTGGTACTATTAGCTTGGAGGTACTATATATAGCAATGGGTTTGGCGCACTGTACATTAACCAGTTTATAACTTTTTTAAAAAGTGGCTTAAAATGATATTCTTTCCGTTTCAATTTACGCGAGATAGTTTGACTTGGCACGAAATTGAAGAAAAAAGAAGAATTTTTTTGAAATGTGTGGCATTAAAAGGTTAAGGGGTAAAAACTGTTAGTAAACTGTATTTGTAAACTAATTCTGGAAAAAGAAAGCAGAATAATATATAAACAGAAAACGTAAAGAGATAGAAATCAATTCGAGCCCACTGAATTCACAGTGTTTCCTTAAGGAATTTAATCCCCTCCTAGTACCCAAGGTTATGGATTATTTCCTCCCAGGATAGAACGAATTACACACTGCTGTAGTGGTACTTCAAACCCCAGTGTTTCAGCGAACACAAAGTTCGGTAGCAAATCACACTTACTGTTGCTTTGTTTGATGTTAAAAGTATGCAGAAGAAGGAGGAGAAACTCAGAAAATCGTCTGGAAATTCTGAGCAGAATAGTCTTGTATTTATAGCCAAAGTTGGGCTGAAATCTGAAAAGGTGCAACTCTTCAGAATGGTTGTTTTTGCAAAACGGCCACAGCATAAATGCCATAACATAAATGGCTATTTACTCAACAATAAAGAGGGAAAATTGAAGGGTAGTTATTTTCTGTTAGAAAAACAGAAAACTGAAAATTGGATAACTAAATTGGATTTAATATTAATATTTATTTTAATATTATATTCTGTTATTAAAATAAATATTTAATAACATTTCTGTTAATATTTACTATCAACAAATAAATTTGGTCTAAAAATTAATCAATCGATCGATCATTTGACCAAATCCAAATCCGTGCCGAAGCCGAAGCCGAGCCGAGCAAGCGACGACGACGACGGCGCGAGGCTTGCCTTCTTCTCAACTCTTTATGAGCTAGAAGAAGAGCAATTGCTTATATACCCATTAAAAACCTTTTTCTCTTCCAATATGGGACAATGGTCCTTCATCAAGGGGGAAAACTTAAAATTTCACTTAAAAATTTCATTTCCCTCCATTTCCCATTCACCACATTTTAAGCATTAATACCTTAAAACCCCAACAATCCCCCACATGAATGGGGAATGGCTATATCATGGAAGTATGCATGAAAAAATGTGTGATTCGCAAGCAAGGATTAATTGCATCTGGATAAGTAGGTTTCCCTTTGAACTTTCCGTAGTGAACTTATGTCGGATATACTCGGTCAATCAATAGATTTGATATCTTTGAACCGTCGAACTTTGGTGTATACCTCGACAACCATAAGTCACACAACCAACCCTTAACCGTCTTTGGTTCTCATTTTTGTGTTCGTTTCAGCCATGAACACCGCCTGGTTACATAAGTGCGTAGAGAACTGGCCTTCCAAAGTTCTCCTTGAAGCGGCTAACACTTCACACTTACATAGGTGATTCCTAAACGTGTCATCCCGTAGATACACTATTTGATATACCCTGTATCAAATTTAGAAATCATTAAAAAGCCTTAATGCTTTATCCTTGGTACTAAACATTGTCTCATCACGAGAATGGACCAAAAGTTTAGTTGACAATGTTGAACCGTCATCAACGACTTTGTTTGATCTCCTTGAACCTAGATCTTGGATCTCCAGTCTTCTAGGTAGAGTTACCTCCACTATGACTTGTTCTCGGCCACAGACCCATTCCTCTTGATGATTTCTCAACTACCTCTCTAATTAGGCCTTTTGTAAGTGGATCCGACACATTATCACTTGACTTTACATAATCAATCGTGATAATTCCTCTAGAGAGTAATTGCCTAACGGTTTTATGTCTTCGTCGTATATGCCGAGATTTATCGTTATACATAATGCTTCCAGCCCTTCCAATTGTCGCTTGACTATCGCAATGTATGCATATTAGTGCCAACGGTTTGGGCCAAAATGGAATATCTTCCAAGAAATTCCGGAGTCATTCAGCTTCTTCACCGGCTTTATCTAATGCTATGTATTCAGCCTCCATTGTAGAGCGGGCAATACAAGTTTGTTTGGACGACTTCCAAGATATCGCTCCTCCACCAATAGTGAATACATATCCACTTGTGGACTTGGAATCAGTTGATCCGGTGATCCAATTTGCATCACAGTATCCCTCAATGACCGCAGGATATTTACCATAGTGCAAAGCAAAGTCCTGGGTATGTACTAAATACCCCAAAACTCGTTTCATAGCCATCCAATGAGATTGACCTGGATTGCTCGTATATCGACTCAATTTACTTATAGCACAAGCTATATCTGGTCGTGTCCAATTCATGATGTACATTAAGCAACCCAACACACGAGCATAATCCAATTGTGATATGCTTTGTCCTTTGTTCTTTGCTAATGCAAGATTCACGTCAATTGGAGTCTTTGCAACTTTAAAGCCCAAGTGCTTGAATTTTTCAAGTAATGTCTTAATATAATGAGATTGTGACAATGCCAGATCTTGAGAAGTCTTATGGATCTTAATTCCCAGAATTAAATCAGCAACTCCCAAGTCTTTCATATCAAACTTGCCAGCTAGCATGCGCTTAGTCGCATTTATGTTGGCAATGTCATTACCCATTATCAGCATATCATCCACATATAAGCAAACAATGACTATGTGATTTGGAACATTTTTAATGTACACACATTTATCACATTCATTTATTTTAAAACCATTTGACAACATTGTTTGGTCAAATTTCGCATGCCATTGTTTGGGTGCTTGTTTTAGTCCGTAAAGGGACTTAACAAGTCTACATACCTTCTTTTTTTTTTACCTGAAACCATAAACCCTTCAGGTTGTTCCATGTAAATTTCTTCCTCCAACTCTCTATTTAAGAAGGCTGTCTTAACATCCATTTGATGAATTTCAAGACCATAAACTGCAGCTAACGCTACTAACGTTCGTATGGACGTAATTCTTGTAACTGGAGAGTATGTATCGAAATAGTCAAGACCTTCTCGTTGTCTATACCCTTTGACCACAAGTCTTGCCATAAATTTGTCAATAGTGCCATCATCTTTCATTTTCCTCTTAAAGATCCATTTAGAACCCAACGGTTTATTTCCAGGAGGAAGATCAACCAATTCCCATGTATGGTTGTTCAGTATGGATTCTATTTCACTATTGACTGCCTCTTTCCAAAATAATGATTCCGAAGAAGACATAGCTTCTTTAAATGATTGAGGCTCATTTTCCAATAAGAAAGTCACAAAATCTGGTCCAAATAAAGTAGACGTTCTTTGACGTTTACTACGTCTTGGATCCTCCTGGTTAAGTATACTTTCTTTTGTTTCTGCCCGAGGTCGTTTAGATCCTTCATTAATCGACTCACATTCTTTTTTATATGGATATATATTTTCAAAGATATTATCTGATTCTATAACTGTATTATTATGAATTTCTGGATTTTTTTGATTTATGAACCAGAATATGCTTTACTATTAGTCGCATATCCTATGAAAACACAATTAACGGTTTTCGGTCCTATTTTTACCCTTTTGGGTTTAGGAACTTGCACTTTTGCTAAACACCCCCACACTTTAAAATTATTCAAGTTGGGCTTCCTTCCTTTCCATTTTTCATATGGAATGGATTGTATTTTGCTATAGGGTACTCGATTTAGTATTCGGCTAGCCGTAAGAACGGCTTGCCCCCACAAGTTCTATGGCAAACCAGAACTTATGAATAATGCGTTCAACATCTCCTTTAATGAACAATTCTTTCTTTCGGCAATCCCATTGGATTGGTGCGTGTAAGGGCCGCTGTTTGATGAATAATTCCATATTTTAAACATATTTGTTCAAAAGGAGATTCATATTCACCACCCCTATCACTTCTTATTATTTTGATTTTCTTGTTAAGTTGCGTTTCAACTTCATTTTTGTATTGCTTGAATGCGTCTATTGCTTCATATTTACTATTAAGTAAGCAAACATAGCAATATCGAGTACTATCGTCAATAAAAGTTATGAAATACTTCTTTCCACCGCGAGATAGTATTGACTTCATATCGCAAATATCTGTGTGAATTAAGTCTATAAGGATTTGAATTCCTTTCAGCTGACTTATAAGGATGTTTAACATACTTAGATTCCACACATATTAGACATTTTGATTTGTCCCATTCAAATTTAGGCAATACTTCCAAATTAATCATTTTTCGCAAGGTTTTATAATTAACATGACCCAAACGTATATGACATAATTCATTTGACTCAAGTAAGTAAGACGAAGCTGAAATTTTATTATTATTTTCAACAACCATTACATTCAGCTTGAAAAGGCCCTCAGTGAGGTAACCTTTTCCGACAAACATTTCGTTCTTACTTATTACAACCTTATCGGAAACAAAAACACATTTAAAACCATTCTTAACAAGAAGTCCAGCAGAGACTAAATTCTTCCTAATCTCGGGAACATGAAGGACGTTGTTCAAAGTCACCACTTTGCCGGAAGTCATTTTGAGAAATATCTTCCCACATCCTTCAATCTTGGCCTTTGCAGCATTTCCCTTTGAAAGCATCTCATCAGGTCCAACAGGAGCATAAGTAGCAAAAGCTTCTCTAACAGCACAAACATGGCGAGTGGCTCCAGAATCAATCCACCACTTTTTAGGATTGCCCACTAAGTTGCATTCGGAAAGCATGACACATAAGTCATCAACATCTGCTTTTCAACCATGTTTGTTTGGCCCTTCTTCTTGTCTTTCTTTGGAGCACGACACTCCGTAGATTTGTGTCCGGCTTTTCCACAATTGTAGCAATTTCCACTGAACCGCTTCTTGCTTGGGTTGTATTTCGGTCCAGAAGCCTTCTTCCTCTTTTTGTTCTCTTCAACAATATTTGCTCCCATTATTGTTGAGTTTTCACGGCCTCTCTTTTCAGCAGCTTTGTTGTCCTCTTCGATTCTCAACCGAACAATGAGATCTTCAAGGGACATCTCCTTGCGTTTTTGTTTCAAG